ATGCTTGCAGACCACAAGGTGAACAGACAGGGAAACACGAAACAGAACTTCCCCTGGCCAGCAGGCCCACCCCCCTCAGCCAAGAGTCTGAACCTGGGGGGGGGGGGGGGGGGGGGGGGCACCTTTAATTACTTTCGAAAAAGGGCAGGGGCTCAAGCCCCCCCCGAACGTGACTGGTAGGGACATATTGTCTATACTAAACTCTAGTCTATGCTCTTTGGAGAAGTACATTGATGTTACCTGACTTATAATGATTTATTTTAACAAGCGTGTGAAATGACCTTTAGTGATTTCAAAGCTTTTACAAAAGTATTTTGACAGTTTTATTCTCCTTCAGCTAAAATGTTAAGATTATTGAACATTATTATTTTAATAACACTCACCTCAGTGTCTTGAGTTGAGAGTTTGGATCCTGTAGTAAATCACTGAGCTTCTTTACTCCTGATGGTCCAGGATCATTTCCTGTGAGATCCAGCTCTATCAGGTGTGAAGGGTTTGATCTCAGAGCTGAAGCCAGAGATTTATAACCCTTTTCTGTGATACTGCAGTCTGAAAGCCTACAAAAATAAAAGCATTAATTAAAATTAACAGTTTAGTTCAAATTATTTCATTACTGCACAAATCACAAAACATGACTAAATCACACTAGAGCTGAATAAATAATCTGACATGCAGGAACATGCAGCTTTATTCTATCATCGCTGTTTAAGTGATGAATCATGACTCAAACTCAAACAGGACTCAGAATGATCTGTACAGATAAAGATGTGTATCAAATGAAGATGAAAGCCAATTATCAGTATGAATCTTCAGCTAAATACAGCTCTGAAAAATTGCATACACTCACTCGCATTGCACTGTACCTCAGACAGATGTAAAATTCTGTAATAAACAGTCAAACAAAAACTCAACACTTATTCCACAACAACACGTGGAAAATTTTCACTTAAATTCAGGTTTCTGGGGACAAGAGAAACAGATGCCATTTGTTCTCTCTCAGCCTGACACTTAGGTGTGAATGATCATAAATTCCTTAGGACTCCAAGGAAAAACAAGTTTTGCCATATGGTTGTGGCCACAAATGTAGGAAAGATCTCAAGTTCAACATAATCCAATGAAGTCTGGTCTCTATGTTTTCAGCACAACATCTAGGTTAATCTGAAATTAGTTTGGAAAGTGAATTATGGACTACATCCGACTACTACGCTCAACTCAGAGGACTGTAAGAGACGGTTGTGTTTTTGTGTTCACGGAAACATGGCTCAACAACAGCGTTCCGGACTGCGCTATTCATCTCGATCAGCTGACATGCTATCGAGCGGACAGAGCTCGCGTCGAGGGAGGTAAGACCCGCGGCGGAGGGCTTTGTGTTTACATCAATGATGCGTGGTGCCGCGATGCTGTTGTGGTCTGCAAACACTGCTCACCCCTGGTGGAGTTTATGATTATTAAGTGCCGGCCGTTCTATCTACCGAGGGAATATACAGCCATACTGCTCGTTGCTGTATACATCCCTCCCAGCTCCAACAACAGCAACAGGAGCGAGGCACTGAATGAACTGTACCAGCACATCAGTGAGCAGCAGACAGCCCACCCTGATGCTTTTCTCATCTTGGTTGGGGATTTCAATCATGCAGACCTAAAGAGTGTGTTCCCAAAAATACACCAACACAGACTTTCCAACACTGGGAAACAACACTCTGGACTTTGTTACAAGTTCCTGGGTGTGCACATCACAGAGGATCTCTCCTGGACTGACAACACCGCAGCACTAGCCAGGAAAGCACAGCAGCGTCTCTACTTCCTCCGCAAACTGAGTAGAGCCAGAGCCCCGGCCCCCATCATGTGCACCTTCTACAGAGGTACCATCGAGAGCATCCTGACCAGCTGCATCGCTGAGAAGATCATTGGTGCCTCTCTCCCCTCCCTTCAGGACATCTACAACACCCGTCTCACCCGCAAAGCCCTCTGTATTGCAGGTGATCCCACCCACCCAACACACAGCTTCTTCAGTCTGCTGCCATCAGGGAGGAGACTGCGGAGTCTCCAGGCCAGGACCAGCAGACTGAAGGACAGCTTCATCCATCAGGCTGTCAGGAAGCTGAACTCCCTCCCGACCTTGCCCCCCCTCCCCTCTTTTGCCCCACGCACCACTGAACTCTGACCCTCTAACGGACTCTCCCACTCCCCCCTCCCAAATACACTCACACACTGTCACTTTAATCAGTCTGAATAAGCTCTTTTGCACTACAAATAATTTTTTGCACTACAATCACTATATCTGCACTGTTTTTTACTTTACTGGTTTGCACTCTATCTGCCATATGCCTTGTGCTTTATATATTTTTTTTTACATTTTACCTTATTTGTATATTTGTATTTTGTATTTAATCTGTATTTATGTTATCTGTATGCACCCAAGGGTCTGAGAGTAACGCAATTTAAATTCTCTGTGTGTATGTGCTGTACATGTGGAAGAATTGACAATAAAGCAGACTTGACTTGACTTGACTTATGCATAGATGAAGCCTTAAAGTCACAATTGGCCCTTTGCCAGGAGTTTGACTGACAACTGACTACCAATCATAACTCTGATATTGTGTGCTCTCCATTGCTATTTAGTCTGACAAACAAACCATACAGTAGTGTCAGTAGACTAACATCGGTGGTCTTGAACTTGAAAAATTATGAAAAGGTGCTTGTATGGGACTTGCAATGCAGATATCAGGTACCCAGACAGGCTGGGGAAGGGGGCGCTATTACAAATCGTTTGTACAGAATTTCCAAACAGGGAAACAGCGAAGAAGAAACCCGAAACAACAGATGCTTCCACATGTAATCTAACACGATCAGACATAAAACAGCATCAAAACTGTGTAACGTTATGGAATAAAATGTTGACCCATGAAGAGGTAAAAATAATTGCCAAGGTTTGGGGTGTTGATCGACTCTACGACATCTACGTTTTGATTATCATTCTAAATCCAATTCATAGTCTTTTTCAGCTTTTTGTTTAAAATGTTATTTATTTATTTTAATTTTTTTTATTTATTTATGAAAGTTACTCACATGCCTGTGTTTATAAAAAAGAATGCATGAAGCTAGAATAAAATGTTTTTGTTTACAAGCAGACACCCTGTTCTTTCTTTTGATGTTTTGTATGTTCAGATATTCATATAACAAAATATATACACATTAATAAATAGGGACATAGTAGTATACTTAAAGTATGATGTAAAGTTCACTTAAAGAAACCTTACGAGTATACTTGCAGTATAAAACTACTAAACTAGTAGTTTACCGAGACTATACTTCAAAGTGTACTAAAAATGCTACTACAAGTATTTAATTAGTAAACTCACAGTATACCTAGAAGTTCACTTTTAGTATAGTTGCAGTACAAACTAAAAACATGGAGGTAAACTAGTTGTGTACTCAAAGTTTAATACTGTTATCCTTAAAGTATACTTAAAAGTATACTTTTATACACTAGAAAGTGGGCCAATTTAGTCCCAAGGAGTATTGGAATAGTACACTTGCCAGTATACTACTAGTACACTGATATTT